ATATATATATATGGAATGGTGGATGCAGTAGATCTGAAGGTTTAGCCAATATTGTATTGCAATCGATTTGTTTCGGTTTTATGATACTAAGCCTAGCAGACCGTATTACGTCCCTGCATGGCTGTTGGTCGCCTTTGGATGGTCTAGATCTGAAGGTTTAGCCAGAGCTATATTGCAATCGATTTGTTTCGGTTTTATGATACTAAGCCTAGCAGACCGTATTACGTCCCTGCATGGCTGTTGGTCGCCTGGTTTTTGGATGGTCACGGATAGTTTGGATGTGAGTGATAACCGTTCAGCTGTGGCACTCGGACTTTACTGAGGTCTACTGTGTACATCTTCATCGTTTTTTTACCATGTTCTACGTGTTGGCTTGCACAGCGTGGATTGACTTAGCTGACAGCACTGCACACTTAGCTCAGCGGATGAGCACGGAACAAAGCCTTCGCAATCAAGTCTATTCACCATAAATCGAGTTGGACCACTACCGGACAAACGTTACTGTGCGATGCTCAAGCGCACCGCAACAAGAACTCAAAAACATGAACCTGTAGGCAAAGACCAGTTAGTGTTTTGAGGGGTTGCTGTATTGTGAAGTCTTTCAGCTTTAGCAAATCGCACTGTATGGCTCAGCTGAAACTAGCACTTCAATGTATGTATGTATGTATATATGTATGTATGTATGTATGTATGTATGTATGTATGTATGTATGTATGTATGTATGTATGTAGTATGTATGTATGTATGTATGTATGTGGTCGTTGGCTTGTTCAGCTACGCACAACTACGCACTGATGATGTCACCTCGATTGGTAATGAAACGTTTGCAACCAAATTGCCCAGCTCAGCGAACAAGCCAACGACCATCTACGCCACCTGAGCTACCGACATTCTCCTCTATGTATGTATGTATGTGGTCGTTGGCTTGTTCAGCTACGCACAACTACGCACTGATGATGTCACCTCGATTGGTAATGAAACGTTTGCAACCAAATTGCCCAGCTCAGCGAACAAGCCAACGACCATCTACGCCACCTGAGCTACCGACATTCTCCTCTATGTATGTATGTATGTGGTCGTTGGCTTGTTCAGCTACGCACAACTACGCACTGATGATGTCACCTCGATTGGTAATGAAACGTTTGCAACCAAATTGCCCAGCTCAGCGAACAAGCCAACGACCATCTACGCCACCTGAGCTACCGACATTCTCCTCTATGTATGTATGTATGTGGTCGTTGGCTTGTTCAGCTACGCACAACTACGCACTGATGATGTCACCTCGATTGGTAATGAAACGTTTGCAACCAAATTGCCCAGCTCAGCGAACAAGCCAACGACCATCTACGCCACCTGAGCTACCGACATTCTCCTCTATGTATGTATGTATGTGGTCGTTGGCTTGTTCAGCTACGCACAACTACGCACTGATGATGTCACCTCGATTGGTAATGAAACGTTTGCAACCAAATTGCCCAGCTCAGCGAACAAGCCAACGACCATCTACGCCACCTGAGCTACCGACATTCTCCTCTATGTATGTATGTATGTGGTCGTTGGCTTGTTCAGCTACGCACAACTACGCACTGATGATGTCACCTCGATTGGTAATGAAACGTTTGCAACCAAATTGCCCAGCTCAGCGAACAAGCCAACGACCATCTACGCCACCTGAGCTACCGACATTCTCCTCTATGTATGTATGTATGTATGTATAGTCAGATACACGACTCATTCGCTCTTAGGGAGTAACGCAGGGTGAAGTCAACTTCATCAGTCTGATCATTCTCAAAGCATGATTTTTCAATCTGTTTGAGCTTCTCTGATAGGCGCTTTGTATAGAAGTTGGTTTATTGGATGTGCTGTTTATTTATGCAGATCTTATCGACTCAGATTCTTGAAACTGTCGGATACACCGTCCGAACTCGAGCGTTTGGAACTCATCAGTGAAGTCCAGCATTCACCTCTTAGTATGAGATTAGTTAAGGTCTGTATTTGGTGCAAAGCCTACATAGATTCTGTGAACGGTACGTTTCGTTTGAAACAGCTTCCGTTAATCCCGTGGAAAATGATTGCCCAGTGGTTAGTTCTTGTGCTATCACCAATCGTCATTGGAATGGTAGAAAGACTTCTCTGAAGTGATGCCATTGTTTCACAGACTCCTCAACAGCGTTCCCAGTCAGTTACGACTTAGTGTCATCTCTCGGGAAAGAGTTCACTCTCCAGAAAGACCAAATAAGCTTTTTCTTTTGATACCTACTCATCCTATTTCGTGTACTACTCAAACGGTGATCCACTTCAAACTCCTGTTTGAAATAAGATATTTAGTATTCAAAGTGAAAAAGGTGTACCACATTTATGCACCATCACGGCTCCCATTCATTCATTTCTTGCTTCCATTTTTGAAGATGCGGTAAAGGATACAATGCAGAATTAGAAGGTAGTTCGCTTTTTCTCACCCGTTCCAAATCCTTAGACGGCGCGGAACGCATTGGTTGTACCGATTCGAGTTGCTCACATGAATTCCAGAAAATCCGCGGTTCAGAGGTACGCAAAGTTTTTGTCCTATTTCTACTTTCTGTTAAACACCGTGTGTCCATTTTGGACTCAGTGTCATTCTTTCAACGGTGACGTGTTTTAGATTATTCTTAGCTATTCAGTGCAACCCTCTATTCTCCAACACTAATGTTCCTCTGCGTGAACTGAAGGCGGTGCCAGTTTATAACGACAAAGTGGTAAGTGGCTGACTGACAATACACGCTCCATTGCATATTGTGTCAAACTGCAGTATGGCTGTGTGGATCTCAGAGGCTATTGTTCACAGGTAAAAGTGCGTTTCGTTGACATTGGGTGCTAGATATGGCTAGCCGTAACTTAATTCTTCTCAACTAATTCGACGTACATGATCAGCCGTTATTCATGTGTGGGAATTTTTCCTCTCTGAGTTGCATCAGTTATTGGTCATTTTGACACCCTTGCCTCAAGATGTGCGTCAGTTATTTATGTCTTCTTCTGGAACTTTCTAATGAAATTTTATTGAATAACTTTTCTCCCGTTAGCGAAAAGTTTTGAGAAGTGTGATTTAATTCACCTGCACACTGTGCTACGTAAAATCTTTGTTTACTCATTTCAGGTTGGTCACTGCTTTCTTCTCGGACGGCGCTACTCCAGCTGTTTTGATGCAAATTATCACGGCCTGGACGGAAAAATGTGAGTAACCTATTCTGCATTCTATTTATGGGAAAAGCGAATATCCCACTTCCTACCGCATTTGTTAACTCTCATCATCTGAGCTCGAGATGGCTCAGTGCTTAGAAGCGCGGATTTACCGACCGGATTGTTTGTGTTTCGAACCCAATGACTGCTTCTCAAACGAAAGTTTCACTCATCCTATGTGTTTTTCTTCTGTGCAGTGTAAAGAGCTTTTGAAATCTTCAATAAATATTCCTTCCCGTAAATGAAGTCAATCTGTGCTGTTTCACATTCAGTATCATCATTCATCATTGTCGAAGAGATATTAAAGACCAACCGAAGGTAGAACTTTCCTAGAGTTTATTTCTCCTGAGGTTTGTCTATTCGAGAGCCAATCCTTAAAACTATATTTCTTAATGCAGCTGCTGAATATTCTAGATGTCACCAGTAAAGGGAACAAAGATGTGCAATTAGTTTCCAGTACGTAGCCCAGATCACGTTAAGCCAAGTGTTAGCAGGTCAAGCTGTCTAGTTGGTCGTTCAATCGGACGTTCTGTCACCATTTGTGGTTTCTAGCCCCACATTCTGAGTGGTATCTAATTCCCCAGAAAGAGAAAATCCGCAGCCGGCAATTAAACATCTCCATGCTCTAAAGATTTGAGTAAATCACTGTAGGTCGTCTTTTGGGGACCAGTTAGCATACAGATACGTGAAACAGGCTTAAGGTTTGCAAGTGGCTTCTAACTATACCGCTTACCAGCCACTAGTGAACCGAAGGTGGTATTAAATCCTTCAAATAAGACGTTTACCTTCGAGTATCGTTCAAGATTTGGAGAAGGTGCAACGCTTTTAGTTCCCGATTGAAGCATACGGTCGGTCAATACTTTTTAACCTCACCGAGCCGGACCTTTTGGGATAGCGTCTGAATCATAATTTTCAAGATATCTTTACCACTTTTGAACTATTTAGTAGTCGCTGTTAACCTGTTAGTCTGTTAACCTTGTTAGTGACCACACTTTTGACTCGACGCATGAATGCCCGGCCACTTACAAACGGCGTTGTGATGCCGAAAGTGACAACGTAACACGTTCCTTAATTAACTACACCCTTGTTGTTCTTGACAGGTCGGTTTTATTTTTAGTATCCTCTCGTGGCCCGCTCAGAACTTTACACGTGATCTTTATAAGCAACCCACTTTCGGCTGCACATGACACACGTGTACGCGTCAGTGTTCAATAGATCAACTGATTCGCATATTCATTCGCTTTCTGGTTTGCCTAATCGCATCAAGCGACCAAGCGACTATCCAGATTTGGGTTCACTGTATTGAGAAGTCATTAAGAATACTGTGGTCCACAACACATGCCTTTACTCTACTAGTGATTTGACCCAGATTCTTCCTCATCCACCTCACTACAGTGGCCTCGCGTATTTTGAAGATGGGACATTTTTCGCGTAGGCGGCCGTACTTTCTTAGCCCTTTATATTTTTAGTTTGTCATGGCAGTTCATGCATTTGCTCCGTGCAGGGTAACGAAGAAGCAATCCCCATTCTCAAGGAAGCGTCTACAACTTCGGTTCTCGCACAACACATCTTTCCTACCCTTCAGTTCTTCTTTGGCAAAATGGCTCAAAAAGTCCTTTTCAACCGCAGAGAAAAAACAGGCTTTGGTATTTCGTCCGTATTGGGGGCACGTGTCTAAATGGCCTTTTTTGCGCTGCGGATGAATTTAATTGCGCTCCCGGAGGACCGTTGTTAAGGCGATTGTTCCACATATTTTCCGTGATTCCTTACGAGCACCTAATTGTTGGGTCCTGATGCAAACTTTAATGCAGCTCATCTTACGGCACCGATGGGCGGGTGACATTGATTTGATTACTCTACACGAATCCCTTAATATGTCCCTTGTTTCGATCCAGTTCCCAGACCTCGTCGATCGCTTAGATTCACTACACTTCAAGTTCTCCATTTTTCAGAACATTGGAAATGGGTTGCTACGGCCTTGGATTGACTCGTCTTGTGGCAGTTGGTGTTGAATACCTATCAGCCGCGGCATTTCCCGATCTCCCCAACGAGCAGATCTCGGAGATCCGATGGCCACAAGGACTTGCACCTTATCGTGGGTGTATCGTGTTACAGAAGGTACGTACTCCCCTACTCTACTGTGTAGTTTACACCGCCACGTGTTTTCGAATCACGACCATTGATAGTGACAGATTGATTTTCCTTCATTACTGTCGACCGCACGGGTATTACCTGAGTGCCTTCTGGGCATCATGAGCACATGAAATGCCATTCGAACTATCTGGTTTCCAATTTCACGAACTGAGTAATAACCGAAATGGTAGGATTTGGCTAACTGGTGAGTGAACATCTCTTTCGGCCGGAAACATTCGGCTTTGCCACTCGTACTCACCCACGTTTACTTATCACTAATTTCGGCTAGGGGTTTGGAGCATTGTTAGTCACCGTGTACATTCAGGACAACCGTATAGTGCACCAGCACAGGAGCTTCTGTCAGTTCTGACTGAGTCTCTGTAGGCCAGTATTTCCGGTAGTTCAAGCTCAGTCGGCGGCGTTTTCCCATGCATGTTAAGTGATTTCTTGATGACTACGTTTAAAATGCACCTACTATGCTGATATCAATCACAATTCTTGTTCTGTGAGAATGATGCGTACCCCTTAATCGGAGCATCATCGAGTACACTGGTTGTTTGCCTGAGAAATACAGCTCGGTTATGCGCAATGAAATTTAGGCATTTTTAACCTGACGTTTAACAAAATGGCTATCGTGTGCATTGGCTTACCTACCTTTTGTGGGGTGAGATCGCGTGATAGGTGTGTAGAGGGGATCTCTCAATTGCTCATTCTTATATCAGCGTACAGTGTTTTCTCAACGTGTCATGTCTAATCAACTATTGTATTTCTTTAGTGCGCTCTTCAGGGCAGAATTTCACATGGCCGCATCAGTCCACCTACACACAGCGCAGGACTACGTGTTTGTAAAGCGGATTTCACAGTGCAGCTGCAACGTAGCCTACTTGATCGAGGATTGTGGTACCGTATTCTGTCTAGATGCAACTTATTCACACTGTCAATCACGTGCACGTGGCCAAGCTCTTTGAATCTCCACAGAGACTCACAAGATTCGAACTACTGACCAGCCCCATCTAGAATGGGACAGCCGCCTAAAGTACACAAGCTTTTTAGCAAAAATTAACTCGACCAACTAAGAGAGTGTTAAAAACATCATAAACGGGAGATTTAGCCGGGCTCCAGGTGACTCTCCCGCAAAACCAGATTGGTTCGCAAATGAGTGTATTCCGCTAAGGGGGTGTTGTCTTAGTTGAAACTCCTAAATCTCATTACTACCAACAAAACGTAGGAAGTTTGTGCATAAAGGGGAGAATCCCACAAGCTGCATGGACATTCTGTCTGAGAGGTCATCACTCGAGAGTATAGTCGACGGAGGATCGTGTGACACGATCTGATTGATTTAGGCCTGGTGGTCCTGTTCCGGTGCAACTTAACCAGACGACTGGTCAGCCAGCTCTGGCCAAGCGATGTAGCCTTCGGCCAACAAGGTCACAGGTTCCAATTCAAGCCCCGGGGAGGTTTACTACATGAAATAGAAGCTTTTGAGAGGTGACAGATTGGGAAAGCACTGTGAGCTGATACCAGGATGAACAGGCAAAAATTCCCCTCAAGAGACTCACTGCATGGTATCACGCCACGAGTTTTTTTTGCATGGGCTATTTCACTGCTACTGGACTGGCTTCAAGTCCAAGGTATCTGCTCTCACTCAATTATTATTGTAGCAGTTGTGAGAAAGCCAAAATCTTCTCGGTTGCGTAAACTAGGTCGCTTGAATTGACTGTACGTGGTTGACCGATGGGTGCTGTGAGATTTCTTCCAAGTAATGGTGAACCACAATGCCTATTAGCCAATCTCAAATGCATGTTATTGTCCGATTACTAACTTCAGAATTGTATGCTCCATCCTAACCCCGCAACATGTAAAGACTGGACGCTTCCGATGGGCCTTATTAGTGGTAGAACAACTAGGTTAAGAAGATAGCACTTTTTACAAAGGTCTCTGTAGACCTTTCGCTTGAAGATTCCTGATACTCATTAGGTTCGTTTCAAATTGTTTTTTTCTTAGGATGGTTGCATTAGCTACTCATCCTCTCCAAGAGTTCGCCGTATGGCGTTCGTTGCGTCTGCCCTTGGCTAGTGTTGCTCAATCACCAAGTTATGTTGCACTCAAAAACTGTGCGTTCGTGTGCCTTCTATTTGAAGGTGATCACATATCCATGAGAATCTGTCATAAGTCAGCCTTGATTTCCCGCCGCAACAACTAGGAACAGCGCACTACAGGCTAGTTGTCCGGAATTTAGCCAGATCTGCTCAGAAAGGGTAGTGGTTTGTCACGAGCCTATTAAACATACTCGGATACAGCACGGTTAGCCACCTTGATTCTGAATTCATCAGTTACCGGACGTGCTGTCGAAGCATCTCTGTAACTCATGTGGTTTATTTTTGGTATTGTTGTGCACCTGAGGTTGCTAGCACTTAGTGAAGGCATCCTGGTTGACACTAAACACATGGCCTTGTTGACGCAGAAATTACTTATCAGAAACTCGTGTGTACCTTGGAGCTGACCTTGCATTCTCACGCCTGCGCGCCAGTCTTTTCGCTCCTGCGCGCTTTGCTTCCTCCGTTTATGTCGCCATGCTGTAACTGTTACTCTGTCGTGGTGCTTATACCTTGTGAGATACTGCTCCGATAAATCGAGCTCCTCTTTCATCAATTGCACAAAAGTCCATTGATGTTGGTGTCTTTATTTATAAATTCCTGGATAGACAAAGGAAGTTGACAAGATAGTAACACTAATTTATTGGATAAATGACAGAAACGGCTTGTAAATGAATACTTTGGTTGTTGTATGTTTTGTTGGGTGAACTGGGTTGATAGATGTTATGAAATCACATGAAATAGCATCGCGGCGAATAGAAGTGCTGTTCAGCCTTTCGCTTGAGTCAGTCTTTTTAAGGGACAGAGAACATTGTGAACAAATAAGGCAATGAAAACGCCGAAAATTCGAGCTTGCTGTCTAGTCCACCAATCTCAGACTTCGGCTTCAAAGTTTTATATAGTATCGAAATATAAACTGGCTGCGTGAACGTTATGCTGTGTAATGCACAGATCGCTACTTGGGACAGTTTGGTCGATGTTCGAGATATTGTGGTGTTTGTCTTTCGTGGGTGACATTGCATGCAAGGTCTATGTTGGTTGGTATCGTGGACGATGCAGCAAACTCGATTTCTCCGACTAATCGTCCTGTGCGTTGGTCGAAAACAAACTGTCCTGACGTAATACTGTAGTGTTTTGCTGGCGAGTTTTGCCATTAGTGAAAGGAGAAACACTCTTCGCTGAGAATTTGTTTATTAGCAAATACGAACTAAGCGGTTACAAGCCTTTGGATACGAAAGTAAATATCTCATCTACGCAGAGTTTTGAAAACTGCATTATCAAGCGTCCCCACGAACCTTCCCAGACGTTCTTTGCGTGTTAAACAATAAAGAACGAACATTGCTAGGCGGTTCCGTAATTTCCGTGGTTACCTTCGCCTTCCATCAAATTCGGGGGTGGACCTTGGACACCGGACCATACACTATCCACAAACTTCATCACTAGTATACACCGTTGCGTCAGTAGTTCAGGTTTCAAAAATCTGTGGCGCTATCCGACTTGAAAGTCCTGACAGGCGATTCAATCGGCACAACTATCGCATTTACTAGGTCGTTGAGGCGTCGGGCAGATCAGTCAAATCGCTGAAGCGCGATCACACTCACCTATTTAGACGTTATAATTCCGGTGTCTGTCGTACGCTGGCCTTTCACGTCAGGTGTCCGGAATTTATGGTCATAGATTTGCGCTGCCAATGTGCTCTCACAAGAGCGGAACTCCAGTTCAATGCTTCTGCTGTAACTCACCTGAATAATTGCGCCTGGACTGCGGGAGGAGTGTTCAAACGAGTACTGTGAACGTGAATATAGGGAGACGTCCGAGGCTGTCGCGCACTGAAATGGGGTTAGGCAGGTATCGTTCAAGCTAAAAAAATTTCAGAATTGTGACGTTTGATAGTTTCGGTTGCTTGAATTTTAAACTGACCCGATACAAGGTACTGACGCAGCTTAATGTAATGTCATTAATAAGGGCTGTTTCGTAATCCCCAGAATTCATTGTGTGAATTTTTGGTAGATATTCAAATGCCTGCTGATTATATAACTGACTGTCATCTGCCATCTATTTCCACTCCACCTATTGACGCGTTTCTCAGACATTTCAGGAGAAACAACGAGTGGACAAATCTTTATTGGTAGAAGGGAACTGTTCGAACAAGTATTATTGGGAGGACGTCGAACCAATTTCGTTTACAATTGTCGCTCGTTTTTGACCTCACGGGGACACTAATCCTGAAATAGACGGTGGGAAATTGATAGTATCGTTTAGGCCTGGACATCATCGAGGTAATTGCGCACTGTGCGCAGGGTTTAACTGTACTTTCCGCATTTTGTAACTCCCCTGTCCCGTTGCAGGAAACTGCAAAAGATGCTATGAATGCTAAAGAATTAAACTCTATCTTCGACATACTTGCTGACGCAAGCTACGACCTTCGGTTTCCTGGCGATATTCTAGTCGATGATCGACCTGGTCTCAGTCTGGGAAGAAAGCTGGTTGATATTAGGCGTCTTGGGATCCCGTGGATCGCAATTTTGAAGGTAAGCTTTTTGTCCGTATATTCACCGCGACCCAATCTTTTGGCTTAGTGTTCAATGCCTCCACAATCGCGCTATACTAACACTGACGCTTATTTCAGGTGTTTTCGTAATAGATGTGGTTTTTTTGTCTGTCTACGGGATTTTAGCAATGTTGCGTTTTCATCTTTTGTTTCAGTCGTCCGCGGGCTCGCTTGGTCCATTTGAGTTGATTGACCTTCATCGGGGGCGTTCTCACGCAGCAATGGTGCACGAAATACGGTCTGCCTTTGAACAGCCCACACTATTTAATTCGTCTGCCCTTCCTGAGTGGGATATGTCAAGTCGAAAAGCTATCGGTTAACTGTTCTGTGGGTCTGACTCTCATGTACAAAGATGTTTTACAATAGTTCAGCTAAAGTGCACAGTGTTCCAGTGTGATGAATGCGTGACCACAAGAACTATTGTCCTTTTTATGCCTTACTTCTCCGCGCCACAGCATTTGATGGGGAAGTAGGTGATTGACTTTAACTGGCAATTGGCCCGATTGTTTGGAGGTTTGATCGTCCTTGAATGCCTTCTACAATCATGCAGCTAACCTCTTCCGAATGTCTCTTATTTTTTATGTCCAGTCACTGGATAGTGGTATGGCAACGAACCACCAAAAACCACATTGGTCTTACTGTGTGTGACGGTGTCGGGAATGGGACTCTCTACTCAAACGTATCTTTACGTGGGTTGTTGAACTTCCAATCTTCTGAATGTTATGCTGTATGTATTCTCATTTACTCTTTTGGTTAGAGTGCGCTACAATGTTGAAGCATTGCAAGGTGGAAATATTGTAGGTATTCTGTAACCATTTTACTAATGACATTGAACTTTCGAGATATTTTATTCGTTTTTGAAGCTTTATTGATAGTATTCCGAAAAAATTCACCAAAATGACGGAGATTTAAGTCACTGGTTACGGTCGTTTACCTGCTACATCAAGTGTTTTAACCTGGAATTTCGTGCACACTCACAGGGGTGCAACACAATCTGTCAATCCGTTGCGGTTGCAAGATCTGGGATGTAGAGCGAATAATTCCATATTTAGGTAATCCAATGCTACTGCTGCTTGCTTTTTCCCTGAACAAAATTTCATTATCGTGTGAGTCGTTTTTTAACGTCCTCGTCTTGACGAGTAAACCGTTTGTTTCGTTTGGTCAGATTGAGCTCAGGGTTTTGCTTCATACAAAATGGAAAATTCTGGACGGACTTGTTGGTTATTAGGGGGCATTAACTGTTGTATGTGATTTTGAGGGGAATTGTGCTCGGAATCTGGAATCCTGCTCGGTGTTTTCCTGCTGGTAGATTTTTCGAACTACAGCGTGTGATAGATCCAACTAATCAGCCAGTGCTGCTGTTCTTTCACAGGATGGAATGGAATTCTGGTACAAATGGTTGAGAGGGCCTAATTTGTGTCACGTATATTAGTATTAGTATTAATGAAAATGCTGTACATTTTCGCTCTTCAGAAACAGTGGTTACGGTTTCAGCCCCGAGTGTTTGGTGAACCATTATTTTTTCGAAAGGTATTAAACTTTTATAAAAAGTGAAGAAGGCTGAAACAAATTGGCACTGGCTTACCCTTAGATGTACACCGAAGATCTCTTGGGAACATTTAAGGCCAGCACAAAGTTCCAGCCTAGAAAAGCAAACTTCGATGTCTTAAAAAACAATATTGCGCTGGAATAACCAAAAAATTGTTTAAATATCAAATTTTGATTCCAAATCCCAATGCCAGTTTGCCCTAATAGCTTAACTGACATTCGGGTTTGTTGATGTTGATTTTAACTTATTTTGGGCGATTTTTTCGATAGCTCAGTCGAATTTGCCTTCTACTGACCATGTTCATTTCGTGCCTCACAGGTTTGGTGCACTTATTGCTCTGTGCTTATGTGGGACACTTATAAGTTAATTGATTCTTTTGGCTTAAATTTTCGTTGTGATCATCATGGGTTTGGATGCACCAGAACACCGTTTTCTCTCCCCATTTTTATAACCTCATCGAGTATTCAGATACTTCTTCATGACTGAAGAAACTTGTCAAAATGAACCATATAAGTGCACTCGTATGTGTATTTAAAAACGAGAGTCCACTCCATTTTCGGGCACATCGCCGAATTTTTCAGTGAAAGCAAAACATGAAACAATTATTAGCTGCTTACTCAGAAGAGAATAAAGGTGATCAGGTTTTGATGATATCACTCCGATTGGCAATCAAACTGTCCCGCCTGGCGAAAGATCGACGGCCAGCTTTCTATTTATCGTTGTTTTCATATGCGTACATGAGCTTCTTTTGACATGCGGGGCAATCGAAATAACACCCAAAGGTGTTTGTTTGTTGGCAAATAATGCTGACCAGATATCGCGCTTTCTGTTGGCATGGTTAGGTTGCACCTGCCGTTCTCCGTTAACCTAGGTCTGTATTCAAACTTACTTTGTTTTCAAGTATACAGAATGTAAAATTTCTCCGTTTTACCAAACCTGCCGGAAAAGGTGTATACACAAATTTTGGTGCCACCATTCTTGTTGACGACGATCGTGACAAACTAACTATTCTAGGCGTACTTGCAGCTACTAAGGTAGCATGTGGTGACAACTCCCTATTGATGCCTCACTAGTGTAGTTGCTCTTGATTCACTGAACAGGAGTGCTACTTCGGTGCGATTTACCTATCTAAGGCAGGTTCGTTCAAATCATATTAGGTGAATGGAAAAAGCTTAAAAGGCAGCAACGCCGTGTTCTTTCTCCTTGCATGCTGGGTAGACTTTAGCTCTCATAATTTTCTCATACGTGTGCAAGTTCCGCCCCCGGACAATATTTCCATGATGATCACGCCGGAGGGTATTGTGTCGGGATATTGTGTCTTCACAACCCTACATGAAAAGTTTTATACAGGAATCCACGTTTTTTTGGCAGTTTCAACCTAGCACTCATAATTTCATAGGTACTTTTATACCACCAATAATCTGCTGATTTCTGACAGTATCTTTTGAACTGATATGAGCCCAATAATATGCGTGTAACGTGAGTGGACAGGCAAGCCCAGGATGCAGCAGAACCCAAGCTGTATGAACGATGCGCGCGACACTGCAAGGCATAAACGATGCTGGTGTTGCCGGAGTAACACGGTAAACTGAACACATGGTCGCCCGGCTGAATAACATGGGAGAGAAGTTCGATATGAAGCAACAACATGCATGTATTGTACCGATAGGGATGAGTATTTGTTTTGATAGCTTTACGATTCCGTGTTTAGTGATCCTGCTTGCTCACCCTACCAAAACAATCGGCAAAAGCACTGGAATAAAACTAGCCCCAGCACCGATAACAGTCAACACTTTTGAAGAAATTGCTTTTGGTTATGCGCTGGCGGTCCACGTTATTCTGTCTCTCGGTGTAACTGAACAAACTAAGGAACAACTAAAACCAACGCGAAAGATCGGGCATATATGTGCGTGTCTTGGTGTACACCACTCAGGCTTTTGTCGAATTCAACGCAGAGAGCTTAACCGAACTGAGACCACATTGAAGCTATATAGCATATGTATTTGTTCTATCACATAACATACGCCATTTGACACAGAACTGGGTGGTGGCAGTTTGAACTCCCTCGAGTGGGGCATGCTAGTGTGGGTTTTGTTGGTTTCACTAATGACCGTGTTGTCATTCGCTTTTACTGTAAAACGGAAATAACTCAGTTCGTTCGTCATTGGACGAATCCGAATAATATCGTAGCAAATGTGGAAGCAAAAAGCCCAAAAAGCATCTGTGCTCTTCCAATGATTAGGTGTGCTATCCACGCTTACCCGCATGCAGTTTCAGATTAATTGTGAGGCTTATGCCACAGCTCTCTTGAACAAATTAACCAGGTGGTATTCGCAGAACGCAAGAAGGGCGCGACCTGTTTGGCCAGAATTTGGCCGGGAGGTTTTCTACTACTATTATTATCATCTATTTTTGAAGAGCATGGTCACAAACATAAGAAGTGAATGCAAGCGATGAATGCGAAAGAGTGACAGGAGAATATGGGAGAAAAGAGATGAACGTCTCATTCGAAATCATGCCAAGAACAGTTCCAGTCTGATGAGGTGAATCCCAAAGTATATAAAGATTTTGGTATGGAAACACGCGTCTAAAGACCAACAACCAAAGAAAGGACAAACGATGTTGAATGCTCCTCAAGGCGCGGTAGCCGCTAGCACAGTCAAGACTCGCACATCAGGCATAAAGTGTCCAGCATACTGGGTCTGGTGTGAGATTAAATGGAAATGGTACATGCAACGCCATGTGTCATGCATAAAAGTGTCATAAGTACTCAGAGAGCCCACAATGGCAAGCAAACACAAATCACTGACTGCGACCTTAGGAAGTCTCAGTCCAATAACAGCCTTAGCGAATTGAGGAAAGCAGATCCCTCGATAAGAGATGATCATCGGTTGGTGAACCAAAACGTCGACATCACAAACAATGGCATGTAGGGCTGAGATTATGGCGAGGGAATATTCATCACCATAATTCTGCTTCTTCTCATTCCACACAGTCACTCCACGCCCATCTGAGCTTATGCTGACGTCTACAACTACTGCCACTACTACGCACTGCTATTAGGTGGCTATGATGACCGCTTTTTCATGATCAGAGAACAGTTTTCGTGAGACAGTTTTTCTTGTTTCGGCAGTTGGAATAACCTTCCCTCGGGAACTATATCTAAGACTCAGCCAAAATCACTCTCAGATAATTTCACGTGTGGGCTCTGGTGCTGGTAAACTGAATTCCAAAAGCTGCGAACTTAAAACTTGGCGCTGCAACGTTTTATCGCTCGGCCGGCGGCTAGAAGCACACCCAAAATTTCTCTGAAACCGCGGTATGAAGGAGGAAAACTTTAAAATGAAGTTTTAACATTTTATGGTGATTTTTCGCGCGTATGAGATCTTCCCAAACGGCCGCAGTTTTGTTGAAAGTTGTTTAAACCTGCTCAATCCCCACGATATTCAAGGCCCGCGATATTCATAGTTTAATGGCTGCTATGGCTGAACACGTGAATGCGGAGGATCCTTTTGTGGAGAATTTAGCTCGTCAAAGTTTTTTCTCATTCACTGCATTTCAAGTCGCTTTGAAAGAGCACCAGGCGAAACATTACGTTGTTTTCGTCCGTATAAACTCCAAAAAGAGCAGCAATTCGCTACTTTTGTATGAAAAGCCTTCTACCGTTGCAGCAGACATCCCTGCAGACGAAGCCGAAGCCGTGGAATTCGTCGCACCTAGTAAGTTTATGGTTGACTGTGTGTACGTTGTAGCACACGTCGTAATGATTGTCCGACAAGGTTCCACGTTCGCCGGTACCATGACTGCTTGAGGATTATTTCCTACTACCTGGAGCACAACCATCCACGCAGAAAGTTTATTTTTGACAGGCTCCCCATCAACCGGCGACTGACAAATGATGAATTGAAGGAGTGTTCTACCGTTTTGAGATACGGTGCTCCGTCATCGGAGATTCGGCAGTACGTCGCCGACCACTTTGGAAAAGTACTCACCATCAAGGATGTGCGTAACTCTCGCGTCAAATATCGACCCCCATTGTTAAGTAGGTCGTTGGTTACCTTTTAGTCGGTTTCTTAGATGACATGTCGTCCATCATAGCCAAGTTTCAAGAGTGCGGTCGCGTGCCGCTGGTGGAATCGGAGGGTGGCAGATATAGTCACCTGGGCTTTTCTCGAACGCAGCAGATAGCACTCCTTAGACGTTTCCCAGACGTTGTAAACGTTGATGCTACACACGGTACTAACCGTCTTGGGTAAATAAATTTAGAGACCCTTACGTTCGCTGTTAAGTTACAAGCTTTATACATTCCTTGTGACAGATGGCATGGGTATCGGTCGACCCGTAATGTATGCCTTTGTCGAAAGCGAGCATTTTGCGCCATTGTGCAAGCTCTTCGGCTTGTTCAAAGATAGGATGGGTGGACAAAATAAAGTCAAAACGTTCGTCATGGACAAAATGACTTCACAGATGCGGCCTGCCAAAGCCGTATTTGGCTGCGACGTAATGCTGTGCTATTTTCACGCACGGCAAGCCATCCGGAAGCACGTGTGTTTCATAGCTTTGGTGTAACTTTTGCAGACAATTTCCAACCACAGTCGACACATATTCCACCGCATGGCCCGCTTTGATAATGCAGCTGAGTAGGGGACTGTGCGAGAGTGTGCACATCTATGGGTATGATGGGTCATCGTTGGCAGTTAAATCAGGATACTTCGCATAGCTGAGGCCTACTAAACAGCGTCGCATATAGGCACTGGCCTAGCAGTTTCAATAAGTAGTCAAGGTAGGCGATATCGCGTACAGTTTTGAGTATCAGGTTCATCGTTCGCCATTAGATTAGGTATGTATGCACAAGGACACTGACTCAACAGGTACGATCAATAGCCAAGTTAGAAGACTTCGAGTACAGTTGTGAGGATAACAGGCTGTCAGATGGCTGATGCTATTACCACAACCCCGGAGACAATTTATCGTTAGTTTGTCACATACAAATTAGACCTGCACGATAACCACCCCATTTTCGACTGTATAGGGAAAATAAAATGTGTTGTGAGCAGGTTCACCGAACAAAAATATCCCATTTGTTAAATCGAGGTGTCTAAAGCAAACAAACGCCTGCATCCTGTAGGGTAGGGTGGCATTTGCATTAAATACTCTTAAGATGTTATTTTATTCGTCAGGAACACCGAAGAACAACCAAAATGTGCTAAAGTGCGATTTCGTGTTTTATGTCGCGTAAACCGGCAAAAAATACAAATCGGCGATTGACATTTCGCTCACTTAAACAAAGTGTTACGTGTACCATGTCACGGGAAGGTGCAAATTGATTAGACTAACTTCCCATTAAAATAGCAACTTTGAAAACCCTATGGTTTCAGCGAACTCAATTTGGGTGTGTCAATAGCCTGCGGCCCATGAGCTGGGTGGACTTGCAAAACGTCCTGCTTTACGGACTCCAGCGCCTATCCTGGCCACCTTTCTAGAAACAGGGTAGGTGTTGTTATCTCTTTAGCCTGAGCGCCCAGTCTCATATCATTCAAACTCAGCTGAACTGCCTGCACAAGTAATACTCTCTTGGCTGGGGCTGCCAAATATTACCCGAATGCTGGTCCTGGTGACATATTGGATTTTCTTAGCAGCCTATAAGTGCATGCGGACACCTAATCGATCATCTCGTTTGAGAAAGAGGTTTGCGTATTTCACTCATCACAGAAGTGATGTATGGATCTGATCGCATGAAGTATTATTTGAGACTATAAGCCCAACGCCTTCAACCAACAAATGACAAATAATCTGATGAGAATGCGAAAATCTGGGCACCATTCAGCCGACAAGGAGATGGGAAGTATGTAAACAGGCCACTCCAGCATCCAATAACTATCTACTTAGCTATCCCATTTACCAAAGTAGGACTGCTGAATACAAGTTGAGAGGCTAGTGAAGCCATCTGCCTTGTACCAGGAATCAGTATTGATGAAAGGTTCAGTTCCGCAGAACAAAAGCAAATTTTCAAAAGCAAATACCTGACTTTGATTTTCAATGATATGGCGAAACCACCTCTGTATGAATGACAAAGTCAACTGAAGGCAGAGAAATACCACAAAATCGATGTTCTCTTCAGAGCAAGTGACGTTACGGCTTCTTCACTGCTTAACCAACTAATCGGCTGCATTATATTGGAGAACAATCTTGGAGAGTAGTGCAACATTTCAGGCAGCATGACTGAGACTGACTTGAGTTTTCCAATAAGACGCGTCATATATAAATCCCACTGTACGGATTACTCCGGGCTTTAGGTCAATCAACTAAACCATTCATCTACGAAAGCCTGGCCACCTAGAAAAATTTGTCAACGTCATTAAGACCGCTTGCAGTGGGAATAAAAAACACTTTAGTTGACCTTTTCATCAAAAACAATAAATTCTCCGGAAAATGAGCCCAAAATGACGTGGTTTCGGAATCGCTGTCACACTGACGGCACCTTGTCAGCAGATCTGACACTTGATAGTAAAATGAACGCGGTCTGTGTCAAAGGTCTAGAACAATCATGTTTCACAAACACACCAATCTTCACTAGTGTACCATAACGATGCCTATGCGCTCAGCCGAATTTCGGTTTTCTAGTTGAATTTACAGACCGTCTGATCAAATTTCTTCAGATGAAATGGGAGAATATAACACCCATCCCCTTTTGTCTTTAAAGAAAAAACGGCACTGGAGATGAGTGTTGGGTGCAGCCGGTTAAAATACTCGTCGAATAAACCGACGACTAGCTATCCAGAATACGAATTTTCTTCGGTCAAACGAAGAGTGTTGTTCGAATTGATAATAATGTTAGTTACCAGTTGGTTGGTGGCATATCACTAGCCATGAATATAATGTGTGGGGCCTCATAATTTCAGCCATTTTTATGGCCTCGGGCAAGCTTATAGATTATGGGAGTAGCAGGCACCCGATAGACCACGGTGGCGATTCGTAGTCCGTCGATCCGAGGGAAGCTTCTGGAAGTGACGCCTCAAGTGCCGAAAAACGAGCATACGCTTTGGGATTGCAAGAATCCTAGCACAGCGATCTCGCTTGTGTGGATCTGCGAACGCACCTGCCTCATAAGGATTGGTCTCATGGAACATCAGCATTCATTGCTCAACCTGCTAATCTCAATCACCTGGGGGTGAAGTAAATTTGTTCGATTTTTTGGTGAATGTGCGTGCGACAATATTTTGCCAAAGGATTGACAATGTCAGTAGCTACTGAGCTACTGAGAAGCTACAACTGAATTGCCTACAACTACCATGGTGATATTCCTGGATGGCTCTTTGCAAGATTTGACATCTGCCTTCTCCTTGAGGGACAGAAAGGTGAACCCACGACTGTCCCAAAAGTGGTATGTGAAATCTACAGAGAACACCATGCAGGTCTATGTTCAGCCACAGAGTACTCGCCACATCCACTCTTGTCAAGGCGTAACTACGAACGGCCTCCAACCGACGTAGTTTACAGGGCGAAGAACATTCGTTATCTCGTGCACAAAATCGGCCCAATCTGTGCGTTGAAGCCCGACGAGGTCCAACAGAAGATCCTAAAGGAAACGGCGTTCACACTGGCGAAACTTTTCTACCTGGTGTTTCGTTATTCGCTTGACGAATTCCGCCTTCGCTCTGCTCGGAAGGAAGCGACTGTCACGCCAATAATAAAACTGTTGTCCGACTACCGCCTGGGAGCCGCTGGCCTATTGGCCTCACTAGCCTGTCGTGCAATGGAATGGAACACATTCTAAAGCAAGCCATCCTATATCACTCTACTATCAACAACTTGGTGTCTCCAGTTGAAAGCGGATTTTCCAAAACCGTTTTTGCGTGACGAACCAGCTCGTGCTCATGGCAAATCAATTCAAGGATAAGGGACTCATATCGGATGCCATATTTTTCAACCTCTGAAAGTCATTTGATCGAGTTCACCACATCTCACAGCCCCAGAAACCCTAGTCTTGTGGGATTCAGGGGAACCTTTTACACTGGACCAAGGTATTCCAATCAGGCAGAACAGTCAGAGTGGAAGTGGACTCGACATACTCTCCCCGGGTGCCGGTCTCCCTTGTATTTTTCAAGGCTCGCTTTGGGACCACTGCTATTTCTGACATACGTCAATGTCCTTCACGTTTTTTTGCAAGTCAATGTCTTCATTTTGCGGACGACTTGAAACCCTGGGGTTCCAATGCCATTGCCCTCCAAATGAATGTAGAGACTGCGAAGAAGTCGTTGGACTGGCACCTACCTCCTAATCACGAAAAGTGCGTCCGCTGGTAATGTGGAGGAGACTCAGCGAATGTCTTCGTCATGCATGATGAGAAAGGGCCAGAAGACCTTACGAGGATAGATCCCAGAAAGGATTTTGGGATCTGGCCATCTTTAAACATGTCCTTTTCACCGCACCGTTAGAAACTGACCCCAAACGCATTCGCCTTTCTACGGATAATTTGGCATACTTTGAATATACCAACGAAGTTGTCCACTCAAGACGCACGAAAGGCGTCCCCCTCATTGGGCGTATCCAGTGAGCCGCTACGAAAGTGGTTGCGACTTCAGCTAATACCCAATACTTCGGTACCATGTTTAGATCGGCAGACAAACTGAAACAGGCCTTGTGTTTTCGCCGCTGAACCCTCCGCCTAGGTAAAATTTGGTACCAAATAATGGCAAGCAGCACCGCAGTTGGCCTGGCGCAAACCTTCTGTGGCTTCCCGATATGCATTCCATCCACTTACCTAACTACTGTGGCCAGCATTTCTTATTCACATGTTATACGTCAGCAGGCCAGCAGTCTTAGACAAATGGACCTCATACTCGCTCCTTGAAAACCTGCAAATTTAGCTTATCCATTTACATGTTCCCTTCTCACTTATGAAGACTAATTATTTTTTTAGAAGGTCCTCTATTCAGCCTCTCTGTTTCGACGTACTCAACCCACCAGCTTGCTGATATTCCAGGCCGGAGAATGTGCATTTTCTTCAGAGTTTCGAAGGCTATTTATATAGTCTCACGATTCGAAAATTGAAACATTCTGGACGACTATTCCGGTGGTGAGGATTACTTGTGTGCTGCTGGCATTTCTGTTTAGGAGCCTGAGTAGGGGTTTCCTTCAAATTTCTCGCCGCCCACTGAATCCTTCAGAGAGCATTCATCAGAAGTTTTATTACTTGCAATTTTGCGCTCCATTTGCTCTTGTGCATCCTTCCCGAAGCTTTCTTTGATTTCTGATTGCCATCGGTCTAAACGGCAATCTCAGCGATCCGCACTTCCCCCTACCTGTAAGGCAGCCCGCTGGCATCGATCCTCTACCATCTTCATTTTGTATTGCCCCAGAGGACCATAAGCATCTTTTGACGGAACTGTGGTCTGTGGCTTGGGCACGTCGCCGCCAGCGCTCGCTACAAGTGGCATTTTATTGTTCCCCAAAAATAATCGGATCAGTTAAATCCCCCTACTGCGCGCCCCTCGACATGGGTCAAAGCAAACACCTTCCTTCTCTATCCCCCCCTCTTTGCTTCTCATCTCGTAATGCTGCGGAAAAATGCAAGATGTCCGCCTAAATGCTGGGGAGTTTGTCACAACTAGAGTTAGCATTCGAATGCGAATGTTTGTTTTACTCAGCGCTTCCTGCAGACCCAATCCCGGTGCACGTTCTTCCGTCCTCTTGATGTTCGATATCAACGCTGCCACTCTAATGAGCATATTATTCAGCCTTTTACATCACAGCCACGCACAATTTTTGCTCCCACATAAGTTCCATCCAATGGCATATTCTCTCGGCCTAACTCCTGCAACACTTTCAAAGAGGGACCATTACAAGCGTTCCATCCTTGATATTTGCTCCTAATTCAGTTTGCTCCATACAATTTTTCCTTTATATTTGAGTTATGAACATGCAGGTCAATGCTAAGGAATGGAAAATGATTTGATTGAAATGATAATTTCGAAGGTCTTATAAGTTGTAATGAGGCGGTTATGAAGTCGACTCCAGTCTAATGGAGGGTTTTACAACCAGATGATCTACCAGGGCCCTGCAAACCGGCGTGTTGCTATACCGATATCTGTGATGCCACTCTAAACCATCCTCTACCTTCTTGTCAGCTCACTCGGTCCCAACTTGGCTGTGGGGCTCTAATAGCCCCTGCTAATTTACGGTAATTTGCATGACAGTTACTGCAATCGACGAATTCACATGAACGCATAAATGATGTGTACTATGAAGGCTTGTTAGCGAGTAACGGGGCGGTTTAAAATTTTCGTTACATTTACAACACAGGATGGAATGAATTCGGTCAAAACCGTCTTCAATTGCTACATTCTGTTATTTCAATATCTGTGTGCGAATTTTCGTCGCCAGTTAACAGCTATGACGTCTCCTTCGTAGACGAAATTCTCCAACAATCTGGGGCTATTTACTCGCGAAGAAACTCATAAGGTAGGACTCGAACTGGTAATATTTTACCTCATTTATGTTGAACTGAGCTCTGCGAACGAAGACTACCATTTTTTCTTGACTTGTCACCGGCCCGAGATCAAAAGGAAGTGGATACACCACAAGACGAAAGATCAACTTGAAAAAACTAGCAGTGTAAATTTAAGCAAAACCGCCCCGATATAAAATTGACGTTACGCAGAAATAACTTAATCTTATACACTCAAAATATTTAACGTGCGCAGTATCAGACCGAAGACTCGCAAATGCACGCTGCTTGACATGAACAAGAATACTAACTGTGATGAAACCATGGACCTCGTGCTTTCCCTTATTCAAAGGCGCGATATGCGTTGACAACTGCCGCAATTTTGGTTGGTGTAGTTGTTGTATGCTATTCATTATTTTCGACGTTTCGCGCCTCAATGTTCAGAGGTGTAACAGTTGGGCCGCGCAATGAGACTCGATAATGATGTTAACCAAATAGCCTGGTGTTTATATACAACTATTTTGCTGAAATACTTTGACTTCGGCAAGCAACAATGCTGAGGTTATACTTAGCTTGTTCTGCAAACTGTGGCCTAAGAAAGCCACTGCAGTCTGAGCGCAGTGGGCAACAATAAAAAATCTGGATGGAAAAATCAAGGGGGCATGCTCAGTACATGATAAGAAGACTTTAACGGTGAAACTTATTACAAAAAGGTTGCGCAGAGGCATAAGAATTCCAGCCTTAAAATAGCAGATTCTGCGGCTGTTAGAAACTTGGAAAGAGGAGCAAATGGCATGCGATCGACAGCGCCTGGTTAGTATGGAAAATTATCCAATAGCGAGGAGCTCATTATCAGAAAAGAAATCCAAAGTTCATGGCAGCCGTGAAACGACGCGAGCTTGGCAAATAAGCCGACATATGGATGGATTTATAACGAACGACAGAAATCGGGTGTTGGCCTATTTAAGTAGTGTAGTGCTAACATGGTGCAAACAGGCATGGAACTCATTAGCTTCGGTGGGCTCTTGCTTGGTGGGCATAGGATGCACTAATGCAGCTACGCTAGAAGGTAACGAATGCAGTAAAAGATGCACTAAGCGTTTTCCATCGAGCACCTGTCGGCCATTGGGCGTGAATTCAAAGCAAGATGGTGGCTGCCTGATTTAGGAAAAATGAAGAGCTGTTTGTTTCCATGACAGGCCAAGACGTCTGGCTGTTGCGCGGGTCAGTGTAGACAATTATTGAGTGACTGCTGTCAGTTCTAAGCAAAAGATGGTTCATAAAGAATATAGCGAATAGGTAGCACTGAAGGAAAGCTATCGATTCCGGGAGCAAGAGGGGGAGCTTGCGTCAGATTCAGTTGGCGAAGTGTGCTTGGTTTGGTTTAAATTCATTTAGGAGGTATGTGGCAATAGCGGTACACATCAATTTGGACCAAATGAGTCGCCCGGCTAACTGGGCACACTGTGTCCATTTTAAAAAAATGAGTGCTCAGCTGTCTTTCGGTACTACAGTATTGCCGGGTTTGCTGTACAGCCGTATCAAGACCAAATCACACTTGCTGGTAAACAACAACGGTTCTGTCTTGTGGACTTTCAGATTAGAAGCAAGTCTCAGGACTATTTGCAATAGGTAAAACAAACATCCTCCTGGAGAATGGTGGACACGAAAACGCACTGTGACGCAATGCTACCAGACGACCCGGTGCGAGAGGTATTTGCAAATTGTCGACACTTTGGTGGTTCGACTGAATTTGTTCCGGCCCATTCACAAGCTAATTTATGGACTCTGCGAACTGATTGGCAGTCACCTGACCAGTAATCAACAAAGTGACACTGCCGGGGTTTTTTCATCAAAGTATGCCGGCTGTGTGTACATATATAACATATCTTGGCCACCTTGTTTCAGAACACGGAGTGAAAAGCCATCGGCCCCTTGCACAACGCTGCCCTTAATCTTTAGAAGAAGGGAGGAAAAATCATCTAGAGAGATGGTTATGTTACTAAGAAATCAGGAAATATTCAGCGGTGGGTAAAGCTGTGAAAAAGTTGTGAATCGCTTTCTTGATCAGTCCTCGATAGTCAAAATAACCATATCGTTTCCCTTCTTGCAAATACCACTGTGACCTAGCTGGAAAGTTTCAGCATCCGATTGCCACTACTTTCCATTATTTTCAGCTACCGGTGCATCTTGCACCAGAGGTTAGCTTCCAATATGTGTTCGTCACCTGTCCGCACGCGGTGCTTCGGTTGCCTGGCTCTAACCAGAATGCTCATAGTCGAGACGAAAATGTCGAGGTGTTCTAAAATGTCCACTCTTGTTGTCTGAGGCTAAGATGAAGCTCAAAATTTCATAATTAAATTCAGGCGGGAATTCGTCGGCTCAAAGCTGGCAAGAAAATTGAGCTTGAATGTCTGGCTTGGTATTTCTACCAGCTTCCCTTACTTTGATGAATTCTCCTCTTCAGAATTAGTGCGTCCTCGGATGGCCCCTTTCCTGCATCTTCCTTTTGGTTGACCATTGCCGAATATGTGAAGATTCGGCAGACGACCCGGTCTAAGTGACTGTACGCCACCATAACAAATAAAAACAGCATATATGTTGCATGCATGTTATGACAGTTACTACAAAAACGGGTGAATTGAATTGATTAGAAGTATTTCTGGCCAACAGCGGCACACTGTGGAACCGATTAAGTTGGTTCTGGGGTTGCTATGGGGCCGGCATGATATTTCGCACAACGAATGTGACCCGCAGGTGGGCGTTGGGCACCAAGTTTTTGGACATTCAGATTAGTGAACTTGAATAGAGTTTGTACTGCACATGTTATGGCATACCCGTATATGTCACAACATCAACTTTTTGAGCTCCTTTTTCGCGGACGAATCGCCTGCCAGTGCCATTTAAGGGTAGGCGAGTAATTTTAGCCTTACGAATGTGGATGAATCAACCTCCAGTGACCACTCAAGAACCCACTTTCAAGCTCTTCTGGGACTATTTAAAAGTTCTGCTGGCTGGCATGCCAGTGCATACATTCTCGAAGATTCACCAACTTCCTGGCGGTGACTTGGAAACCCTGTCGATGATCCGCAAGATGCCACGGTTTGGCAAGCAACTGACAGAGCCACTGGAACATTTGAACGATAAGTTCTCTGCCCAAAGTTCCCGCTTCCATGGCCTAGGCAAAAACATCTCTACAGAACGCACTCATTACAACACTCAATCGTTTCATGCGTATAAAATTCTAAATAAACCTCACCCGTTTTTTTCATTTTAAAAAATTTCTGCCAAAAAAAAAAATTCACAGCAACGGGAAATGAGTTTGCTGGCGCGCTCCATGTTGTATTTGACCCTAGATTCCTGCGTTTGTAATTCTGGAGGCGTTTAGTATCCATGCGCTTCATTTAACCATTATAATCGGAAATTGGACAGGAGTTGGGTAACTGTGTCCATTTGACTTTATACGAGGTATGTCCAAGCGATTATGTAGGCCGCAACAAAGATGAAGGGACTCAAATACCGTGAACGGTACGCAATAGACTGTGCCTTGCCATACGCACGCCTTATTGACATCCACTTACAAGAAAATCTAGGTGAGATAGGGAGTCCATCCATCCCGTTGTAAGCATTGGAATCGAAACACGTCTTTAATCCACTCTGAATATGAAAATTAGGATTGCTCTAGGGGAGCTTTGGAAGCACGTAATCGCAATAAAGACGACATTGATACCACTACTGAGTCGACACCAGCCAGCTTATCTGGATCACAAAGAGAATGCTTCCCAAACATCGTGAGTCAGCTCGGGTTTAAAACACTAGCAGCAGTGGTTTTGTGTTAGAAAATATAAGGGCCTATTATTCCATATATTTTGAGCCGGCATATCTCATAATATCAAGGCAAGGAAGCTGGTAAAGCTAAGCCAAACAAATTTTAAATTGTTTACTTGATGCCAAATTTCGTTCGAGCGAGCCAAAGGCATAATGGCCGTCACCATGCATGCCTGTAACGGCAAAGTATTTCGTTCAGCTCAAGCTGAGCATTTCTTAACCACAAATTTCATACACCGCGACGGAACTGATAATACCCACTCCATATCGACGCGTTGGAAGAGGCATAACAACTGAATTCCTTTGAAAGTTGGCGTTAAGTCGAATGTACAGGCTGGTCGCTTGCGGGATACTGTGGCCATTAATGCAGTTTCATATAATTCCGCCACCATCGCGGCTATCTTTGAAAAAGCAACCAAATCATCGGGGGAACCAAGAAACTGCCCAAAATTGGTGTGTGTGGAGCCGTGTTTTGTCAGAACTCAGGAGGACTCAATCTAGCGCGGACGCGCGACCTTGGAGTTACCACGGTGAGGGTTCATTGTGAATGAAAGCCCCGTTGCCATGAATACATCACTCAGGATGCTGAACGTACAAACAGGAAAGCACACTGTCACGGAAGTAAAGCTGTATTGCCTCATCAGACATGTGGAAAGTAACAAATTCTCACCTGGGTAACCAGACTTTTCAATGTTGTGGTAGCGGAAGCAGTACAAGCAGCCCCAGATTGAATTTTGGCATTCAGAAACAACCGGGGAAATCTAGGAAAAATCAAACTTCCATTCACGACCTTCAAAATGATTGCAAGTGAATTAACAGAAGCACGATATTTTGGAAGACAAAAAGAACAGTATATCAAAAGCTTCACTTTCCCAAACGAGTTTTGTGCCTTTCAGAAGACCCCAACGTAACTAGGGACACCAGCAAACAAAAAACAAGAACTCCGTTAAAAACGAGCAAAGGAACACCAAACACAACTAAGTCCATCGAGGTAATGAGTGCACTAAACAGACCTGCAGTTGAAACGGGCTACCCAGTGTCCTGCCTTATGGCGTTTTCGTGCAGATCATGAGAGCGTTGCCACAATGATGCCCGTGCAAGAACTGTCTGTGGCTCTTCAAAATGCTCGTTGGAATGTAACAGATTGCTAAAGCTTAGCACAATTCTCAGATCGCATTTCACAGGACGCGACCCGTGTGTCGAAATATTGGTAGCTCGAGCGTGTGTACCGCTTTTTGATTACGTAATCGTTGAGCTGTTCGTCGAGTTTGGTAATAAGTCTGCCAAAGTTTCGTCTCTAGTTGACGGAACATCGTAGGGGCACCTGAGTGCGTACTGACGATATTTCCTCGACTAATGACGAAACGCCTTCAGGCTAATTGCCAAGCTCGGGGAACAGATCAAAGACCATCTGATCAACCGCCAGCAAAAGACGTGGCTTGTACCCAGTTTACATGACGTGGGAATTTCACTGATTGGTTACTATCTAACTCGAGCAGACTTTGTCCGGTGAAAAGCGGCTCGCGATGCAAATATAATACTACCCAATTACCGGGTACTCTCTGGGCGACTAGACATTACTTTGATGAGTTTACCCTGGCCATTTTCCATTGCATACATCACCCTCGAGGACGTCTCAATCACTTAGAAAACTGAAACGGACACTCAATTCACCGCTACAGACTTTTCCTACGCAATTCATCCCAATCCTCACAAGGATTCTTCTAACGAATCATAACATGTTAGGTCCGGCTGGCTCATACCGCGCATTAAAACGCCCGCACAAGCAGTAAGGCACACATAACGCATCCTCCATAGCAGCAGCTAAACACAACCGACCCAATTGTCTTCGAAGAGAGTCAGCTTGCCAACAAGGTAATCATCGATGCCACTCCTACTTACGTGGACTACCAATTGCTCTCCTCCGTTTTTGTATTTCATTGGGCATCGGAACATTCATTCACCGGCCTGTGATCAGAATCCTTTCAGAGTGAATTCCACTGCGATGAGAAGAACGTTGTCTCGTTTCATGCTGAAGTCTGTATGAGCGGAAACAAACCCGCCAGCGGCTCAACGCACAATGCATTTTACTGCAAACCCCCTGCGGGTGAAATAAAAACTTTGACGTCAAAATGTTGCACTTATTTGCACATATGCTCGGACTGAAAATCCCCCTCATCGGACGTCATTGTTTTGCGATTTGTTTTAATCGACCTCTTTTGAAACTTATTGCCGCACATTCGGCATTGAACTTCGTCTGCTATGGCTTCGGAAGTGGCTTTCGTATCGTTTTCATCCCTCGCATCATTTGAGAAGACCTTAAATGAATACATGAAGGATAACTTTGTGGTATTTGTGCGTTCATCTAGTAATCTAAGCACCAACGCTATTTTGCTTTACGAATGGGTGTACTTCAAATGCAGCAGGCGCCCTCCAAGACCAACGGAAAGCCGTGGAATCCGAAGAAGCTAGTAAGTCGAGCGTATTTTCTAATAAATAAGTACGCGAAGCACCAGCTCTCCAGTGCGGTTTTGTCTACGGAGGCAAAGGAACCAACTGGCAGTGACCTCTTATTTTCTGGAACACAACCGCAAACTGTCAAAGTTTCTGTACGATCGGCTTCCAGTCAATCGGCGCCTAACCGAAGACGAGTTAGCACATGCAAGGCCCTGCTGAGATATGGAACGCCGTCATCTGAGTTGCGGCAGTTTGTTGCCGATGGATTCGGAAAGATTCTTACCACCAAGGATACACACAACTAACACCGGAAAAGTCCCAGCACAATTTGTTCCCTGAGTTTGTGTGCGTCCGTGTTTTCGGGTCCACAGAGGAACTACTCGACAGCCGTGAGTCAATATCTGACAACTACGACTAACTCTGTAGAGCGCCAGCTAGATGAAAGAGACGATGATGATTTCATGTGACCCATTGGCTCCGAAAAGTTTGTCTGTTAATGAGGTCCTCCGCATTACATGTAAGTCTCGTATTTCTTAAGAGGTGCAGTAAACAGGCATGCGAAACAACCGCTGAAGACGGCATAGTGTGAACAGGCATCTACGACAGGATGGTCGCTGCGGTGAGTTTTGGGGTAAGTATCTCCACCAGTTTGTCGGCCGCCCGCCTTATGGTGACATTCCGATAACCTGAATTATATCTTCCTCCCATTTCAGGACTTCAACGGCCAAATGGACACCCTTCACGAAGAACAAAATGCGCCTCCCAGAAGGACATATGTGAACTTCAAAACGACCAATGTATCTCAAAATTCAATGACGTCCATTTTGAGCCTTTTCTTTGGTGTAGATGGATGGGTGCGCTCCGGCATCGCGTACCCCTAGCCGAATGTTAATCGTTAAGATCGTCCAGCTGTCTGGTATTATCGACGTGGGCTCTATGCGTCTATTTAGTTAGGCATCGCCTGCCCCTAGCCGCATGTTAGTGGTGTGCGTCGGTTCACATCGATAAACCTCGAGGTCTTTCTAGCATAATTCACAACCTATAATGAAAAACTGTGGTTTCTGCAAGCTAACTTGCACGATGTTTAGCAAATAATTAGCGTGCACTACGGAATTTTTACTGGAAACAAAGAATCATCGACCAAAATTTGTTTGCATGAATGCGCCTACGCATATATTGCATCTCCAAAGGCCATTTAAATTCTAGAATGTTGAGGAAATTTGTTCCCGTGGAAAAATACCTGAAAGATATGTTCATTTTATGTGAGTCAACCTTTTCCACAATTCGGGATTTTTATCATCAGGTAACGTATTCACAGTCGGCGGTGTTTGTTGACCTTGAGAATTCGCTCACTTAAACAAATCGCCATGGTAAATGATTTTCAATAATACAGGAGCATATACATTATACATAGACATTTTACACTATGAAGTGGCAAGTCTGAAAATGCCGTAGATTTCGAGAAACCATTCTCATTGTGCGAATAGCCAGCGGCAACCAACCCTGACACAATATCGAACAGGTTATATTGCGCGCAAGAATATCTGCAACATTCACTAGGTTTCGGTTCATCACACCCAACGTAATTCGGCTGCATAGTATAGTTGCATGGAGCAGTTATACCAAAAGTTCGCTGTTTTCCTTGATTTATTGTAACCTGCTGGTTTACAGCCCCCGATATTATTCTGCGACGCCAAACCACGGGACAGCATCCGGGTGCTGACTTCGAACTTCCGATATTTAACGATATTTGTAATCAACGGCTCTCCTACTAGTAAATGAATCAGATTCTCCCATGCGATATCGAACCGCTTGACAGGGAAACCTCAAGCCACATGCGCAGGTTATGTACAATTCATGACGAAACTTGATTTGATCACGCCTCTATTGGTGCGCTCCACACACGCCGTTAAACGGACCTATCAGCACTTGATCAAATGCATCGACTACAATCTATGCTGTGGGATATTGCTTTATTCCGGCCTCGTACCTATTAACGGAGGTTTCTGAGTGTTCCTATCATACCTATCACTCTGACGACCAATTCTCGAATTACGCAGACAGGCTTCTGAGGCCGATTATTTAGGAGGGATATCAAATACGAAATTATATACGCCTAATTTGTCATCGCGCGCAGTGCAGGTGGCGGAAGATTTCACAAATTATAACGGCTGCAGAACCATCCGGATCATTCGTCCATTTTCGCCCAATCATTTCTCCTGACAGGCCAACATTTTATTAAGCACTCCCAATTCGAAGTATTTTCTGACCTTGAAGTGGCTCACTTAAACTAATCGCATACTCTAAGAATTTTCTGAGAAAAGCAGTAAAGGTAGATATTTACACATGTGCAGTGGTAACCCCGTAAACTCAATACTTTTCGAGTGATCACTGTCATGCCCCGGGGACTAATGGTCGAACAGGCAGTTGCCTGAAGGCTCCGCAGCCTGGTTGGTCAGAAAGCTGACGAATCAGAGTGATGTATGTGCATTAAGTTGGGGCCCCTCGCCCTCTCACGAGGACTGTAGCGTGACCTTGCGGGAAGTCGAGTGCTCGAAAGTTACGCTCAATGTATGGTTTACCATATCGCAGACTGTTTGGTGATGTCGGCGAAGGCGCTTGGCTTTGCTGGAAGCCATACGAGCAGTCGGTTGATATCGCCTCCAGGTAATCCAGCGTCCTAGGGGCTCAGCAGTGACCCTGGATTTCTGGGCGCTCGGTAGTACACAGAGAGCCCTCCATAAATTTCGCTTCAGAAGAATTGTGTCAGATAAGGGTGTCCAATACATTCCTCAGCTTTATGGCAGACAAAGTAATGAGGCGACATTTAGAAGGCGTTCAAATGGCTGTTGACGAACGCCTTGTCATTCTTGAATAGGTGGATGATATCGTCCTCGTCTTCGAGGAGGAGAGGGTGCGGGTGTCTTGGGTGGACTGGCCAAACTTATTGTGTCCTTTGATCTGCTCTCTGCACCCACTCATGTGAGGTCATATTCATGGACGTGCAACCACTGAATACTTAAAATCCAGGGAGAGGTAGTGAAATTTGAGCGCACCTTGGAAGTTATGTTAGTTATGATTGCAGTAGATGAACTCAATTCATGAATCTGTATTGCTCCGGCCTGCGAATTTGTGACACATATATGACGGAAAAGCGATAACCACTAACTCTCAAGGAAAGCGCTTCTGGCTGCAGCGCGGTTTCTTTTGTATGGCTGTGAGAAACGGTTCCTTCAGACAGCAAAAAGAGATATCTTCGACAACCGTTTGCTCAGAACCATAGCTTTTGCAGCCTGGAATTGGTGGGCCCGCAGCTGGACAATTGGGACACGAGTGCTTCGTTGTGTAATGGGAATTCAATTAGAGAATTTTTTCAGCGGGAAAAGCCGCGGTGATCTGGTCACGCATTGCGCATGCTGTAATATCGCTTTCCGCAAAGAGCGCTGGCTTCTATGCCCGACTCAGAGTGGCCAGACAGTGCCGACACTTTGACCTGGCTGATGGGTGGATGATGGATGTCTCCCCTGTTCGCTGTTATTCTTTTTTTTCACCCTGACGCTTTCAAGTCACTTATGTGTATGTGGAGCTGAAGCAAAGCGTTAAACAACTGTTGTTATTCCGATACTGATGATGATGATGATGATGATGAAAATTCGCATGGCAGTTCTGGGTGTCATACAACGGTGCACACATCATTCCTCACTTGGAGTACATCCTTCAAGTCTGCAGCTCATGAATCAAAGGCCACCGGACAACTCCAGGGTATTCTCCACGAAGGGTCACCAAATTCGTCCGAGGGTTGTTGTTGGTTTCAAAAGCCAACCTATTACTAGCAGTCGCCTCGATTGCCCCAACAGCTAT